TAACATTGCTACGTAGTTGTGAAAGTATTTTGGTGTGTTTTTTTTAGCATGTTGAATAGCTGTGAAGGTATTTTTGATGGGGGTTTTTTTAGCACGTTTTAGCATGTTGAATAGTTGCGAAGGTATTTTTGATTGGGTTTTTTTAGCATGTTGAATGGACATTTTAGTGAATGGCTGTATCTTAGGATGTTTCTAGGTTGTTCTGAATGTTTGTTAGCATTTTGCTATGAATATAAAGTGATGGGACTGGCTTTTAGCACATTGCTGAATGGTTTTGAAGGTGTTTTAAGTGTTTTATAACATTTTGGTGGTCATTTTTAATAGTTTTAACGCATGTTTGGACAAATTTTTAGGGCATTTCTGCGCATTTTTGTTTTAGCGTATGGCTAATTTTTGACTTATTTTTATTACATTGCTGCATGGCTGTGAATGTGTTTTTTGCACATTACTATGTGGTTGCTAGCATGTTTAGAATGGTCTTTAGCACGTTGTTGTACTATTGAGGTGTTTAAATAGTTTTGTAGCTCATTTTGGCATGTTTGCTGTGTTTTTTAGCATATTATTAAGCATTGTGGTTGATTGCAAAGATTGCAGTTTGCCAACCTTTTGGTGAAAATTTGAAGAGTCATAAGAAAGGAGAACCAGTGCATCTTCTCGCAGTAAACACTAAAATCCAATTTAACATTTTTTTTTTTATTGCAAGCTTAAATATTTATTCAAATGCATGCACTTTTTATTACATGTATAAGTAATCGTTTGGCATAATGTGTACTAGTGTGCATTCATTGAAAAAAAAAACATTAATTTGAATAAAAATAAAAATGTGCTGGTCAGTGATTCTTGGTTCAAAAGTTGGCAAGGTCTGCTTTCATTTAACATTCATAATTTATTGCTTTTTCACACTTAACATGATCCATCAAGCGTAACATCCATCCATTGAATAAATTAGACAGAAAACTTATGAACTGGAGAGAAAAATAAAAATATAATATGGCTGAATCCTGAGCAGGACAGAACTGTACTAACACGTTTCTCTGCTTCATTTTATAGTTTATTTAGCTTGAAATGAAACATTGCTGTTTAAATACTCTCTTTCTGATAGTATGATTCAAGTTTTTCAGAAACGTATCGTAAAAATCGTCGTTTTGAGCCAAATCTGCGGTGGTTTCATGCAGTGACTCTGGCCTGTGATGTAAGACTAGTGTTGGGTACCGTTCACATTTTAACCGGTACGGTACCGGTATCGGTACCTGAATTTCGGTGCCAGTATCCAACGGTACCTTTTTTCGGTACTTTACTCTCTGTGTAATTACAAAAACATTTATTTCAGTGAAAAAATAAGTCCAAAAGTCTCAATTTCAACATTTTGAACAATAGGGCCCTACAAACTTTTTCTTTCTTTCTTTCTTCCAGAAATTCTTGTTTTAATATTTCTGAAAATCAAATGAAGGCATTAAACATTTATTTTAAATCAAATGAAAATTAAACCCTTTTATTTTGGTTTATTTAGGTTTACTGTTGAAATTAATACATGGAAGAAAAATTGTGTGAAAATTCTTTTAAAACATTTTTTAATAGGCTAATAATTGTGTTATTTTTTTCTACAATTAAGTGATTAATCTGGTTGTAATATTTATTTTTATCATTTAATTGTTTTATTTAAATTTGATAGAAAATGGAATATTTAAAGATGTACATTATACTGTACAAAAGTAATACAAGAGTAATATATTTCTGTGTAGTACCGACGCAATTCGGTCGGTACCCTTAAAAGTACCGAGTTCGGTACCCAACCCTATGTAAGACGACACGCCGCTGGCTTTGAGGTTGCAGACGGGTTAAGCTGAACCTCTAGAGAGGCGCTTTTGCTGTGTCTCGAACCTGATGATGACGAGGCACTTCTGTCAGGTCGCACTCACTGGATTTGTGTTGAAACTCTTCGAATTCACGGGCGGCTGATCAAAGTGGCGCCGGCGCTCCGATGAGACTCTTCGCTGACTTTCATCTCCACGCCGGGGTCTTTTTTGTTTTGGCTTGTCATTTCACAATGTTGCTTTCAAAGAAAAATCATCATTATTTATCACAGGAACCTTTCTGGTTTGTTTTGACTAGAGAATAATGACAGCACCGTGGCAATAATTTATTCGGTTTTTCAATCCGACTCGCGTGTCTGTGGCCCGTTGCGATTCGTTTGGTAATTCAGACAGAGCAACAATTACAGCGGATCTCAGATAAAGTTTGGCCCAACTCTTGAAATATGAAGCGCTTTGGAGTAGTTTTAGTATACACTCACAATACATGCCAGTTTTAGAAAGAAAAAGTACATGAAGAGTTTAAGTCGACTACATTAGCCATCAAACTGGATGAAACTTTAGATGAAACATCAAGCTTTTGCTGTTTGTTGTTTTATTTTATTTCACTATAGCTTTTTAATTGTTTTTATTTTTATGCTTAATTTATTCATTATTTAAATTGTTTTAGATTTTTATTTATTGTTTTTTATTATTATTATTATCATTATTATTATTTTGTAATTTGTTTAATTTGTTCTTGGATATTTTTGTATATTTTTGTATAGTCATTATTCTGTTTTTAGATTTTTTTTTTATTATTTTTTTTTAAATTATTGTAAAGATTTTTATGTAATAATGATCGTTTTATTTAATTTTAAAAACATATTAATTTTTTTTATAAATTTTTATATAAATAGATACTTTATAAATTGTATATTTTATAAATAAATAAGTAAATATTTATAAATATTATAATATAAATAAATATTTTATAAGTATGTTATACATTTTAATGCATTAGTGGTGTTTGGACTGGCTTTTAGTGCATTGCTGCATGGTTGTAAAGGTGTTTTCTAGTGGTTTTTAGCATGTTCTTATGTGCTAAAGTGTTCTGATCGCTTTTATTGCATTGCTCTACATTAGCGAGGGTCTTCTGAGCAGTTGCTTCCTGGTTTTGAGGTGAAAAGCCTCTGAGAAGCTGATCTACAGCTGCAAATCACCGGCCAATACATGCATTACAGAAATCACATCCTACAGACTCTACATGAGGGCTGTTATGGGCTTAACGTGTGCAGCTAAATATTTTCTGGATTATCCTCATTACAGCCTGATCAGTCCTCCGTAGCAATCAACGCTTCACTGTTTCATCCGCATATCGCTACCGTGGAGCTCACAGGCTTTCAGACTCTCCAGAACACGCTGTTACACTGCGTTTATTTATCTGTGTTGTGCATTGTGCGACTTAAAAGAGCTTAAAAGAAAGAACATTATTGGAATGTGCGATAGAGCTGGAAAATATTAATATTTTTCTGCCGTAAGACAATATTTGATATGCATCTCAATTTTAATTACTTTTTTTGTTGTTGCTGTTGCATTCAAAGAACCATCATTTCAACCAAACCAAGAAGATTCACAAGGTTTAGAGCAAGTAGTAAACTGCAGTCAAAATCTAAGTAAAAAATATTATTTTTAAAGTATATTTATTAAAATATTAATATTTTTTTTGCTAAAATGTTATTTGTAAACTTTGTTTATAAAATATTATTTATATATTTTTATTTATAAATATTTTTCAGCTATATAATGTTATTGTTAATGTGATTTGTTTTTATTCATATAAATATTATTTTTAAACTTTATATTTATAAAAAATATTTTCAAACATATAGATGATAATAAATTAAAATAAATATTAAAAACCAGAAATGATTCGCACAATTGATGAACTGAATCAGTTAAGTAAACCGACTCACTGATTCACTGAACCAGCTAACTGACTAACAGAATCAATTCACTGATTCACTTTGTTGATTTGCTGAATCACTAAATCGACTCATTGGTTCACTGAATTGACTCACTGATTCACTCTATCAATTCAACAACTTGCTGAATTGGACCATTTGAACTTTTTTGGCCTTTTTTTTTTTTTTTGCTGCTGATGCTTATTGAAATGCCTCTGTGTTGTTTTTGTTTGCAGTCTCCTGCTTCTTCTGTCAGCTTTTTCCAGTGTCCTGTCCCAGAAAGGGCGAATTTCCTTGGATATCCGCTCACAGATTGTGGTTCAGTGCTTTTACTCACTGATATCACACCACATGATGAAAACAGGTGCTGCTGCTCTATAAATATGTGTGTTCTTGCAGGCAGAGGAGGAGGAGGAGGAGGAGGAGGAGGATGAAGTATTTATAAAAAATATTTTCAAACATTATTTTTTATAATATTTGTTTTTAAATTATAGGATCATTTAAAAATGCTATTTATATATTTTTATTTATAATAATACTTTTAACCTTTACATTTATAAAAATATTATTTGTGATTTATTTAAACTGTGCTTTTTATATTATTTATTTTTAAATACAAGAAATATTTGTAGCTTTATATTTATTAAATAACTATTTATATATTTATAAAACTTTATAAAAAATTATTTATTTAAAAATTATAAAAATATTATTTGTATAATTTATATTTATTTATAAAAATAGTATTATTTTTTAACTCCAGTAATTAATATAGATGATAATAAATTAAAATAAATATTAAAAACCAGAAATGATTCGCACAATTGATGAACTGAATCAGTTAAGTAAACCGACTCACTGATTCACTGAACCAGCTAACTGACTAACAGAATCAATTCACTGATTCACTTTGTTGATTTGCTGAATCACTAAATCGACTCATTGGTTCACTGAATTGACTCACTGATTCACTCTATCAATTCAACAACTTGCTGAATTGGACCATTTGAACTTTTTTGGCCTTTTTTTTTTTTTTTGCTGCTGATGCTTATTGAAATGCCTCTGTGTTGTTTTTGTTTGCAGTCTCCTGCTTCTTCTGTCAGCTTTTTCCAGTGTCCTGTCCCAGAAAGGGCGAATTTCCTTGGATATCCGCTCACAGATTGTGGTTCAGTGCTTTTACTCACTGATATCACACCACATGATGAAAACAGGTGCTGCTGCTCTATAAATATGTGTGTTCTTGCAGGCAGAGGAGGAGGAGGAGGAGGAGGAGGAGGATGAAGACGAGCAGCATTAGTCACTCTGTCAGCTGTAGATCCATGGATAAAGAGCCAAACCCTGACCGAAATACTTCCGAACCACAGTCACTCACTCACTGATGCGGCGACCGGTCACATCAGGATAACGGGGTGAAAACCTGATAATTGCTTTATTTAAAAAAATTAAAGTATGTGTGTATATGTATGTGTGTGTGTTTATATACTGTGTATATATATATATATATATATATATA